CCAACCAAAAATCCCCCCCCCCAAAAAAAACTTTTTTTTAAATTGTTTTTTGAATTTCTCTTCTCCACCTTTTCTGTTTTTTACTTTTTATAATTCTAAAAACTTATATGTTTCCAAAAAAATATATATGGGGTTGTAAGGATTAAAATTCCCTACAACCCCGTTTTTTCCCCTATTATTTAATTCAGGAAAAATCTCGTAAAATCAGGTCTGCGGCGCGGACCAGGACGGCCGCGGACGCGGCCATATACGCGACCGCCATCCGAGACCGGGCCCGCGGACGCGTCCGCGGGTGTTTCATAGACCTCCTGGGAAAACAGAACGACATCCACGGGAGCCCACAGTCAGAGCAATTTACCAGAAACTCGCTTTCCTCAGAGGAGTCCCGAAAGAAAAGCAAAAAAAAACATTTAGAGCCATGGATGGTTGAAAGTTTCTCACCGATTACAGGAGAAAGAAAATTCCTTCAATTAGGAGAGACAATCACAGACTGTCAGAACAAAAAGTCCTCATTCATAGAATGGGATGGCCCCTCCACATCTCAAGGATATCACAAGGCCAGGGAAGGGGAAGAGGACGACGGGAAAGATGCAAAAAATAATTCCAAGACTTTGAAATTGATCTTACCAAAGATATCCAGCTTGCGGTTAGTGGTTACACAAAGAAACAGGTAGAACAGATCCCACAGTTCCACCTACCAAAAATGATCACAACACCTACCAACTATACTAGTAAAAGACATAAGTTGCAGCGGACCTCTGGTTGGCCTGTGAGACCAGCCCCTTGGCCTGTTCTCACAGGCCTGTGTTGTATTCGGGGTAGTCCAGTCTAGGCCGGTACCTTTGTCGGTACCAGCCAGTCCAGTCCCGTCAGTCCGCTGGGGTATACCCCAGCTGTTGTCTGTTTTTCGGATCATCCTCATTCGCACATCGTGGAGTACGTGCGTTGGAGTCTAGCGTGGGAGTTGCGCTGTGCCATCTTGCTCCCCCTTCATCCTTCATCTCCATCTCTGTCCCAGGCGGAGCACCACACCTGGTGGGTCCGCCACATTGGTATCAGAGCGGGAACGCTCCCCGCTCCCACCCGCCATACTACACAACAGGGAAAGGCCAAGGCCGCCGCACACGCACACACGCCACGTGCCCACGCTGCCCCGCCCCGCCCCACTCCGCTCCCGGATTTTATATTATCAAGATCCGGGATGCACGCTCCCACCAGGGTTTGAACCTGGGCAGGTGCTGGCTATGCGCGTGTGTAGTTGCCGCCATAACACACTCACCACAATGTGTCTATGGCTTTGTAGTGTGGCACGCAGTTGTTGAAGAGGTGTGTGTCAGCTATATACCACACCCCCCCCCCGTCCCCGGCGGCAGCAGGCCAGCAGGCCAGCTATTTGCCCCCCCCGCCCCCCCTGTGACTGTTGCTGCCTGTGCACGTGGCCATCTACAGTGCCACGTGGCAGCCTGCTGTGGAACTGAAGAGCCCCCTGCTCAGGGGGCTGCTCTACACTGGTGAGGGTCTGCTCACACAACATACCCTGGATCTGCAGATCTACAGTACTGCTGCTAGGGGCTGATCAAGATCTCAACCCCCTCTCTCCTCTAGCTGGCTTGCGGCAGTGAAGGCCAAGACCCTCCTGGTCTTGGTATGCCTTGTGCCCTTGGAGACACCAAGGGCCAGGTATCACCTCTCTCTTCCCTCTCCCTACTAACCCACTTTCCCTACCTTTTCTCTCTCCTCCTACTCACCCTCACTACTCATACCCCTCCCCCCATTTTTTTTATTCATGTATTTTCTTTTCTTTCTCCTTTTTTTTCTCTTTGCTTCTTGATCCCCCTCTACCTTTCTCATCCCTTTCTCTCCCATTCTCTCACCCTCCTCTCCCCCTTCACTCTTTTTCTCTCTCCCACCTATTTCTCCCCTTTCTCCTTCACCTTTCCATTCCCCTTTCCCCTAACTTCGAAATTTTCTGTTTTTTTTTTTTTTTAATCTTTCGTTTGATTTATATTTCCTCCTTTTTCCAAAAATTTGAATTATCTTATTTCCCACCTTCTTTTCTCATTTTCTGATTTCTTTCATTTATTTATTTTATTTTTTTGAAAATTCGAATTTCTTTGTGGCACTCTTAAATCTGATTAGGAATTAGTCATTCTTGCTTTCGGCACACATTCCGACCCCGTGGGGGAAACGAATTGCTGCCAAAATTTTCTGTTTTTCTTTCACTTAGTCTTTTCAGCACATTTTGACCCCTTGGAGGTAGCGAAGTGCTGGCAAAATCTTCTCATTTTACTTAGCCTTTCTTCTTGACGGCACACTTCGACCCCATGGGGGTAACGAAATGCTGCCGAAATTTTTGAAAAATCAGACACCTCTTTCTCTCCACCTCCTCATCTACTTATTTAATTATTTATTTATTTATCTCCTTATTTCTCTATTTATTTTCTGAAATTTTTAATTTTCGGCATTTTGAAACTTAGTGTGCTTATCTTGGTCTCTCCTTCCCTTGACACATTCTTGACCCCATGGGGGGTAGGGAAATGTTGTCGAAATTTCCAAAAAAAATAATATTATTTCTCTTTGCACACTATGTTTACTTTTTTTTTTTTT